CCAGCTTTTTCAGCAACTCCCTGTACAAGAGGACTGCCAGTCAAAGCAAAAGAAAACGATTCTTTGCAGCAGATGTTAGAGCAGCTTGCTAATTGACTCATTCGACGAGGTTCAAATATAAGAGTTAGCCGGACGATAGGGAAAATATAGCTCGACGAAACAAGGCCACTGACGGATAAACAAAATAATTAATACAACTAGAATTTTTCGAATTACCATAGATATAGAGTAAGTACACGTCCTGTATTTAAGAATGTTTAATACCTGTGTTGTAAAATTCCTTGCAAATTAGCAGTAAACCCTAATCGCGAGAGGTTCTGCCCGTATAACATGCGACGCCATTCGTTCCCAAATAAATTTGAATGTGAAATAAATTGTAATTATCCGTGCCTCGCGTCTTATTACGTGGTAACATGAACCGCTTTTATGATGGAGATTATGTAGAAATTTCGTGTTCGTAACGATTGATACACATCTTGAGATACCTATCGTTTATTAATTAAAAGAGCTTCCTAATTGGGTCCTGTTATTGTCCCGCGAACATATGGTTAATTAGTATTTAAATAAATTCAAGAAACTTTTACAATTAATTAAATGGTTTATCGACGAGACATTTAGATAATATTACGCTGCTACAAGAAATTCAATTATTCTGGAATAAAATTTATTGTTTTAATTTTAAAATTTATGAGATTCTCGGTAATTAAAAATTTCTCGATAGAAACCTATAAATAACGACTGCTTTTTACCTCGGTACAAATAACATACGATTCCCCGAACGAACTTATCTAAAAACATGAGATTTTTCGGAAACGTTAATTTACAAAAAATGATAGCACGAAGATAATTACAATTATGTTAATTGGAATCGAGAACGAATAAATGACAGGAGGGAAAATTTAATGAAATAAATCATCGAAAGGAAGTTTAAGAAAAATTATCGAAGAACTGTTTAGAAATATAATTATTCCGAAAGATTTTTCCAAGAAAATTGGAAATGAAAAAAATCTCTGTCTCAAAATTCGTTAACTATTTGGCAAAATCCTAATTTGTCGTGCAACTCTCTCTAACTGGGAGAATTCGCGCGATTCTGTCCCCGAGGACGCGAAATCGTACGATACCCAATGGACGAACATAATCTCGCGCAAGGCTATCGATTCCATCTTCCTAGTTTGCGTGAAGCACGACAAATCAATATCATCCATGTAGTTGCAACGAACAATATCCCAATGAAACGCAACAATTACCATAGACTTGCGTTCTGTGTTATGGTTTTAGTTACGTAACTTGTGTTACTTTTACCCCCACTCCTCACCACACCCTGCTTAATGATTCGTAACGTATCAATAATAACGAAAATGATCGAAAACGTGATAATATGATAAAGAGAAATTTCGAGGTCAAATTTGCTGAAAAAATCGAAATTTGTTTTGTTTTTTTTTTACTTATTTAACGTTGATAAAAAGGAAATTTTCTTTCCTCCGTATTAATTTAGGTACCTTTTTCATATGAACGTCTCAAAACGTGTGAAATGCAGTTAAGAAAGTGCTGGTAATAAAACGCAACCTATATGAATATTAATGATAAGAGAGTAAAGATTGCTTCATTCACCGATTAGATTAATTTTTATTAAAAATGAATAATAAATATAGGTGAGCATAAAGATTCGAATAAAACCAGATTAGATTAGGGATACAGTTTGCGCATGCGCGAAGAAGAGGAAACGAAACTGAATTTGTATGGCTAAGTTAGGTTAGGTTATGTTAGGTTCCACTAAAGATTACGCAACGTTTGCTTGGTAACCTTGGATTACTTCAAGGTCAATGTGTGCAGTGCAAATCCATTTAAATTCGCTTCTTTTTATAGACGAATAACGCTTTGTTTACATGAACTATGCAAATGACCTCGAAATAAATGTTTACAAATTAAACAAAAGATCCTACTATAAAAACCATATTTCTCGTATTTTTCCCTTTTTTCCTTTTTTTTTTTTTTTTTTTTTTTTTTTTTTTTTTTTCGAAACTGACCAATATGTTTTTCATAAATTATTCAACTGAGGCCGCGTGTTAACAGTACACCGATTCCAACAAAGACCAGAATCCAATCACGATGCAAATCGAAACACAATGAGAGAAAGAAGGAAAGGGATGCACAACGTGAGCAAGCCAATATAATAAAGCAACAGTGAAGCAACGAATAGAGAAGAATGTACGTTATGGAGAGGGGGAAAAGAGAGAGAGAGAGAGAGAATGCAACACGCCGGAAGAATAAAAAGAGGAAAAAAGAAGAAGAGACAACAGAACACAGGTTGAAAAAGGAAAGAAAAAGGCAGTGTTACCGGTACGGACAAAGATAAAATAGAAAGAGACGAACGAGAAAGAAAGGGAAACAAGGATGGGGAGAGCCATGTAGTTCGTCCTTGGACTTATATAACAAGGAAGAGCTAACAGAAAGAGGAGAAGGATCCCACAAAAGGAATAAAAAACGGAGGGGAGATGAAAAAAGTATGGATTAAAAATGAGGGGAAAAAACAATAGTACACGCCTGCCCTCTAGCAGACAAAACATTATGGATATTTCGCAACGTAGTGTTTTTAAAAAGAATTAAAACATTATTAAGTTTTAAAAATTAGCTACGCAAAAGATATTGTATGAAAAAGTAATAAAAATAACAAATGACTGTAAAAAAGTTCGATAAGAAATAAATTATGCGTTGAATTTTTATAAAAAACTACAATACATAATTTGTTCCATTATTTAAATGTAGGTCACAATTGCATGTATAAATCAGTTATAATAAAAACAAATACATATTCCTATTAACACACAATTAAACGATATACTTCCTAACCTTACCCGTTTTATCAATGAATGTCCTGTACAAAGTGAAATATAATTTTTGTAATACACATGTTGTACTTATACAATTTTTTAATATCATTATATCAACACAGTGTTAAAAAATGGAACAAGGAAAAAGAAACTACAATTAATGTAATATTATTGGAATATACGTTTCCCGAAACTACTCGAAACTTAACCTCTAATTAGTATTTTATTCGGATACATTTATTTGTTTATCACTATAATGTTACCCAATGTTGCTAACCCCACTTTTATGTTTGCTAAATAGCAAAATGCTTTCTAAAAGAATACACTTTTATTTGTTTCACTACATCATTCTGTTCGGTTACGCCGCAAAACGAAAGGGTTGAACGGCAACAAACACGGAGAGGGTTAATTCGCACTAGCTTGAGGTAGGACGTGCACAAACGGTCGGCAGGTGTCGCCACATTGCAACACATGCCGGACTCGGTCAAGCGATAATAATTCTCACGTGTCTCTGTCAAGCGGTACCGTGGCTTCAATTCACTATATGCGAAAGATTATCTAGGTTAGAGACACGCCGTTATACTATTGCGTAATACAAAATGTAATCATCCGATTGAATGGCTTTCTTTACTATCTCGAAGAGAAACGTCAAAAAAGCATGAAATACAAGCTACGGCTATTCGAACAAATCGATCATTTATGACATCCACACTCAAAAATAAACATGTTGAATTTAAAGAAAATGCTTCTTTTTATATTGTCTATGTTTTCGGGTATCTATAAGACACGCGTAGAGATTGAGCCAAGAGAGGAGGGTACAGGCAAGATCAAAAGTAAGATGCGTGACATAGATTTGACCGAGAAAGCAGTTTTCACAGGAAGGCTATTCCAAAGAGAAATGCCATATTCGTAGAGAGTTTGAGATGAATAGGGGATAGCTCCGAAAAGAAATTCTCTGCTAATATCGCGGTCAAATGCCGCGAATGCGGTCACTGAACTAGTTCCGTTTCGACCCTGACACTGCCATTGCCCCCAGGTCGCGATTTGTGTCAGAGGCTCAATATTGTCGTGAATTTATTTGTATGCACATTTACTCACCCCTTTCGCTAGACTCCATCTCGCAAAGGCCTTAGACACCGTGCTGGACGTACGGTACACGACACGAGTATCGAGCAAGTACACGTGGAAAATTACTTGTAGATTACGTGCCGCTAGCTCAAAATTCACCACGATATAAACATGGCCGGTCGCTCTCTTGTCACAATTACCGTGAGGTCGTTGAACCTTTCCGAAATCGAAAGACAACTACACGAAGCACCAGAACTATCTATTCTTTTTTTCGATGCACACGAAAAATGGTAAAGTACTGTAGCTTAGTACATGCCGCCTAAAAATAGATCTTGAATTCGGCGATTGTTTTGACTAACAATGTGGTTCGCAACCTACTCAAAGGTGGCGCTACGCATTGAAAGTCCGATTCCAACGCGAACACGAAGCACAAGATATTCCTTGCAATTCAGAAGGAAATATTTGCAATACATATTTACCAAAATGTGAAATAAATGAATTATTTATATAAATCTCTAATAAATAAATGGAGAACTTACATAAAATATATATTACGTATTTTTTAATTTTTTGAAAATAATTGTAAAAAAAATTCAATTTTTCTCATGTCATAATTTTCTTATATCTTCGTTATAATAGAAAAAGCTATTCTTAATATTATACACATTTTAAAACATTTGAATAACAGATTTTAATACATAAAAGTTAATATATAATGTTATGTAGAACTTGTTGCACGATTTAATTTAAAATATTACAAATTACTTTATCTATTCAATATACATTAATTGTAAGTAAATAAAGTTACAATACCTGTATTTAAGTATAAAAAAAGTATGCTTAGTAATATTTTCATTCATAACTTATTTAATTTATCACAATCAGGTAAAGAAAATAGGTATATCCACATAAAATAAGTTGGTGAAATATTTTTCTTTTTCGCGCGTTTATCACCAGTAGGTGTAACTATACGTTTATTGGTATTTAGTAACAGAAATTTCAATTACAGGCTAAATCAAAGTACCAATCAATATGCATTTTTCGTTACTTACCAAAAACATATCGCGTTCATGAAAATGCGGATTATCGCTTTGAAAAATGTATACAATGTTTCGTTCAGGTGCTTGTTAATTGTAACGAAGATTAATAATTTGCTTTTTAAATGTTTTTATACGTTATAAGGGCACATGTGCATTAATGGCCGGGAATGATATAAAACAAAATTTACGAAAATTAGATTTTCCTTACTGTGCTAGAGAGGCATTATGCAGAATCGGTAAGATATTGTTTATAATAGGTTAACAACTAAACTTAATAATACTTCTTAACATATTTTAATTGCATTGCTATTTCTTACAGAAATATTATGTGGCAGACCTGGGAAGCAAATGAATTTACAACTGGATTTAATATCAGAATTTGTATTTGGAGAAATAGAAAGACGAAAAAAGCGCAACATGACAATAGCAATACAAGAGTTACAATTAATAGAAGTTTTGAGCGATTTTTTCCAAAGTCCAGGAGGAAGTACTGCTGTACGCAATGCAGTTTTTCTATCCCTTTTTCCTGCAGATAGCCCCAGATATAAAATCTTAGGTAATTTAGTATCTTTGGCTATTGCTACACAAAATAAAGCAGTCTTGAATGCAACTGGAATTTGGATGCAACAGTTGGGCTCTACTTCACCACAGAGTGTAGGATTAGCAAGGCATGTACTTAATGACTATTTTGTCCTTACTCCAAAATCTATTGACAAGTTGAAGCAGCTTCCCGTTCTAGCATCACATTTCACTGCCAACTTACTGACAGCAATAGGTGAGGTTTATGAAGATAAAGATCCACCTACGGAACTTCTCAGATTGGTTGGAGAATGGATAGATGAAAATCCAAGTCTTTTATTGACTCCTTTGATGGATAATCCTGCTTTACCAACTGGTGGCATTCCAATGACACCAATAACACCAATAGCAGGTTTATTCAGGTAACATAAAGAAAACTTTTGTTATAGAATTAAATATAAACTATATATATAATTTTAACTTTGTCAGGTGGTGCATTTTATCACCTATACGTACAAATACCACAGAAAATGCAGAATATTCGGAAGAACAGAGGAAATTATATTCTAAAATTCATCAACTACTTATGGACTCAGTATTACGATTAAAAAACAGTGGAAATAATAAACACGCTATATCCGCGCAACATTTTGCCGCTACGACTCGAACTTTAACTTCTAATTTACAGTCTCAAACAAACATTAATTCAACATTAGCTATGGAACGACTAGCTCAAGCTGTTAGTGCAGCTATGTCTGCAAACTGCATTTATGGTAACAAACGTATGTATCATAATTCTTTACTATAAAATCAACTTTTTATTAAGACTCAATTTCTTTATTTTTTTCTTTTTACAGAGGAGTTATTAGCTTTGTTACAACCTTTATCATATCAACACTTTTTAATTGAATGGACATTACAAACATATGCATCCAAAGCTGCTTAATTGCTTCACTGAATTTCTGTTATAAATACCTTTTGTATTATGGAAATGTATATAAACTTAAGTACAATATACAATATATATGACAAAATCATAATTGTAAATGTTAACAAACTTTTATGATATAATAAATATCTATTTTATTTTGATATAATTAATCTGCATGTTCCTAATTAAGATACCAATCACTTAAACTTCATATTTTACTACACATGTAAAGTTAAAATGGTTTAAATGTCCTTTTAGATTTTAGATCTTGTAATCTCTTTTTATCTAATTCAAATTTTCTTCTTAACTCTGCCAAATCTGTAAATAAAAATGTAATAAGATTCTAGGTAACAAAATCTTACACTTATCTTAATATAATATGACTTACTTTGTTTTTTACTCTCACGAATTTGGAAAGTATAAAAGTTAAGCAATTGTTTTTTCTTATTTTTCTGCTCTTCTTTGTGTTGTACTTTATTAATAGTAGATTCTTTCCTAGATAGCGCAAATTGTCCTCTTTTCTTTCGTCCTGTTACAGTTACCCAGCCATCATTCCCTTTTGCTTCTTCCTCCATAGCTTTTTCTTTTGCTATTTTCTCAGCAATTCTTTTGTCATAATCTTGCATATAAGCTTCTATTTCTATCTTCATACTTTTCTCACTAATTACTGAATGATTATATTCCTTACGCCATTCTATTCAATTTATTAGAGCAAATTAGGTAAAGAAACAAAATCTATGTATAAATTTTATAACTTACTTGACAATCCTGTTTCATAATCATTATTTTCGCTACTTAATATTATTACATGTTTATCAGAAATTTCTAATGCTTTTTCTAAATCAGATTCTTTTTTAAAAACTATATAGGCTGTTTTGAATCCTTTGGGAGTTGTAAAGTAAACATTGGAAACAGTTCCACATAGATTACCAAATATATTTTGTAACACTGTAGATGTAACATAAGGAGGGATATTTAATATAAACAATGTCCTTCCTTTGGGATGTTTAGGTTCTTGATTTCTAATCAAATGTTCTTTGAAAAATAGTTGGTGCTTATCAATAGCTTCTTTATCAAATTGGATCCATAATGCTACAAATTAAGTAATTAGGCATAAATTTTCCCAGAAAACTAAATAGATTATGGCATCTTACAAAACATTGTATATTTACTTTTAAAAGCCTTAAGACTTTCGTTTCTATCTTTCATGATTATTTTGTTATTTATAACCTCTATCGGAATTAGTAATCAAATCTAATAGTGCTTTTTACATCAAATATTTTAATTTTTTATGATATACAAAATAAAATGTTACAAACAATTTACGAAAATAGTAAAAATTTTCTTATAATTAATATATATTATCATCATGTATAAAACACGAAATACTTGTTTACTTTTATTTTTCACGTGTATGAACTACATTCGCGACATCGTTCAAAATATAACCAAATCATGAAATTAATCAAATATGTATTTGCTATATTTAATAAATAATTTTCATTGACATCGTGCAATATACCTTACTAATAATAGCCCTCACATAATTTATCTGAAAGTAAAATATTGATATTGAAAATGTTAAAAAATAGACTTGTATCTAATAAAATATTAATTATCATAGTATTCTTTACTTGTTATATTTAAATTTTACATATATTTCGATAAATTTAAATAAATTTTAATCTTTTTATCTATATTGTCTCTCACAAAAATGTTAATCCTCATAACGTAATTTAAATGTTGAATAAAATTATAAATGTTTAATATTTATCCACTATGTGCATGTATATATATAGATAGATATTACACACATTATGTTATTAAATTTCACTGTTATATTACTGAAAAAAATGTGAAGGTCATAAAAAGTATGTACTAATATAATAAAAACAATCTTAATACTTAAAATTATTACTAAAACATATAAAACTCATGTCTTTGTTTATCAGTCTTTTTTCTTTTAATATTTTATTTCCAATTTTATTTGAAATATTTATATTACAATATAAATCAATACATTAATTGAAATGCATACAAGTAGTTCTAAATAGTAGAGAAATATTGATCCTAAGAAAAACAGCAGGTAGCAGGTAACATGTTACAGATATGTAGATATAATTTCAGTTCAGGAAAATTGTTCGCTCGTGTGTCAACTATGTTTAACATGTTACCATTCTTTTTTATAATATTTCGATTTTTATTAACATATTCAGAGTCTAAAATTCTTCAAGGACATCTTGTAACACGTGAAGTACTATCTTTTTCGATCTTTTAAGTCTATTTTAATATAATAATATTAATATTTAATTAAAAACGATAATTTGTAAAATTAATATTACTAAGAATGTACATTTTCTTAAAATACATATTGTTCTTAATATATTAATTACAACGATATTTAATCTAAATTAAATAAAAATAGCAATAAACATGTAAAATTTAAATTATTACTACATTATTATATAATTTTATATTGTATAGTTTTATTACCATTTACATATACCACTTCAAATCATTAACTAACAATTATATTTTATAATTCTTTTCACAGTTTCAAATATTACTTTCAGTCTGTCTTATTAGAAAGTAAAATTGCCACTTTTTTTTTAGAATTGGGCGTTTTTAGCAAGATTTTGCTTTCTAACGGAACAAGGCACATTTCGGTATGAATTCGAATTAGAAGGCAGCGAAAAAGATTTAAAAATATTGTTGTACTATGATGCGCCCGATCAATGGCTAAGCGTTTATCCTTCAAATAAGACATGCATTGAGAAAGAATCTATACTTTGGGACGGAATTGGACAAATAATACCGTTATCTGTATTAACATCTGAACAATCAGGGTGTGTCAAAGAAAAAGACGCAATAGTACGATGTTCTAGTTATCGAAGATTTCGATCGTCTCGTCCAAGATGGTGGTTTATTGCACTTGCAGACTGTTCTTCAAAAATTGGATTAAATGTTTCGTATTGGATGTCACTAACAAATGCGCCACATGGACATTTTTGGAAAGAACACTTTTCAGCAGACGAATTCTGCAAGTAACATTATCTTGACCAAAAGAAGCTTGATACTATTTAATGAAATTTATTTTCATTTCAGATATTTTGCCAGAACTAATAACAATTGCTTTCATTTACGTAATACTTGTAGTATTAAGTTTTTATATAGCTATGCAATTAAAAGCACGAAGACTACTACATGTGTCTTATAAAATATTTATGGCCTCACTACTTTGTCAATTAGTAGGAATACTATTTGAGATTTATAGCTACATAAATATTGGTTTAAGAGGCATACCATCAAAAAATGCTTCTTTGTTAGGCCAACTTTTAGAAGCTTGCTCAGATATCTTATACACTGCACTCATGTTATTATTAGCACTTGGTTTTACAGTGACTAAAAGTGTTTTAACTCCTAAACAAACACGATGGCTTATATGTTTTATTTGTCTAGTTTCATTTTGTCAATTTTCACTGTATATTTATCAATCAAATGTTTTTGACCCTGGATTAGTATTATATATTTATGAATCACCACCAGGCTACGGATTAATAATATTAAAATTGATTGCATGGATTATATTTTCTCTTCGCTGTTTTAAGACTGTTAGAAAAATGTCAACAAAACTTCATTTCTATAGTTTATTATTTTCATTGGGATCAACATGGTTTTTATGTCATCCATTAACGGTATATAATGTGCATGTGATTAAATGAATTTATAATAACATAAAATGTCATATAACAAAATATTTGTAAAAAACATGTTACAAGATATAAAAAATGTTTATAATTTTATAGGTACTCTGTATCACTTTATTAGTAGATGAATGGGTACGAGAAAGTTTTGCTAAGGGATGTTCATTATGGATTGTTCTCATGGGACACATAGTATTTTTATATATCACTAGACCATCTATGGCTAATAAACGTTTTCCATTTCATATCAGAACATGTCAAATTATGCCAGTTGGTGGTGAAGGGCAAGACCACAGTTATGAACCTTATGTTAGAACAGCAAGTTCTGCATTCACTGTTTCACATCTACAACCATCTACTTTGCAATCTTAATAGTAAGCATATTTTAAAATAGTTGCAAATCTATGTAATTATGATTACATGATGATGTTACTTTTATTTTTTTTTAATGTTAATAATTAACAAAGGACACTATATTTTGGTCATTAGTTGACAAAGATAAATTTTAATTTACATGTGAAACTAATGTTTTTAATTACTATACTATTTCTTACAAAAGTATTTACAATAATCAACTTAGATGATGTTTTATATTACATCTAGGTTCTATTAAAAAGTTAACAATCAAAATTAATAATCATCAGTCACATGAACCATCAAGCCAACCGTCTTTCCACCTTTGATCAACAAGTTTACAATCAAACTCTGGTTTTCCAAGTTTTTTATTTACCTCATTATGTATGTTGCAAAGCCATTGACTCAAATGTTTCTGTGAATCAGTTTGCGGAGGAAATTGTTTTAATTGTTCCTGTAAATCTTCTGCACATACATTGCAAGGATAAAACGTGGAAAATATATGAAAAAACTTTTTCATATCAGACTTTTGCTCATCACTTGGATTATTAGGATAATATGCTGCCATGGTATGTAAAAATGACCATGTTCTTGAACCTAATTCATCTTTATCTAATGGACAATCATTACGTTTAACATTATTTACAGACAAACTTTTCTTCTTCTTTTCTTCAGAGTCCTAACATAAATAAAATATGTATATAAGAATAAATAATTTGTTTAGTAATATGTGTGATGCTATTTTTACCTTTTAAAAAGTACTTAGCTTTTATCATTCAATTTAAAATATTAAATTTGAAATGTAATGTATATGATGTAATATTTTTTAATATATAATTATAAAACTAAAAGTGTTCCTTCTTATTTATATTGCAGATAATTTTATTAAAAAACTTTCCACTATACCTTTTCAGATTCCAAAGCTTTTTTTTGACTTTTTGCCCACGATTTAAAATCCATGCATGCACGACACGGTTTTTCTTGTGACATTGTGTTACTAAAATTGCAGTATACATCCGTGAATACGTTCAACGATTGTTGTAATCAATATTTTCAGGCGAGGGATAACCTCTTACAAAATTATAATTTATGTATCTGTTATATCGAAAAATTAATATAGAAATATTTCATATTGTATCATATTTTAAGATAATAATAAATATTTATTAAATTAATTATGATTATTTCAATTTATAGTAAATTTTTCAATAGCCAATTTTCTTTGGGTACCTACTGATATATGATATATACCTTTATACATGACAACTTGCAACTTGATTCAGATAAGAAGTCGAATGTAATAATAACTTTATATTACGAAACAGAATGTGCTGACAGAAAATCTCAAAACATACACTGCTTCTACATTCACGCTGAGTAAGTGATGAAAAAAAAGAAAAAAGTTGCGTGTGACTAACCTGATCTGACTGTAGTCAGCGAGTGACAAATGTTAAGTGCAGTTTTGACTGCACCACAAATGATACAGTTGTCGGTAAAGTTGATCTTCTGCATAGATGATGGCGAGTCGTAAAAAATGTTCTGATTCGTCTCGACACCTATCAAAAAGTGCGAGGCGTCATGTCGGGGAGGTCATGTTTCCATCATCTTCATCTTCCGAAGAAGAGGTAACGACGGGACATCGAGGTTGTAGAAACACGTCAAAACAGTACTTTTGGAATCGTGTTGAGACAGAGTCCCAAGCAGGTTAGATTTAACCCTTAGATTTAATCCTTATCACAAAATTAAGCTGACAATAAGTTTAGTATTTATTGTTTCTTATTTTTCACAGGACAAAGCACTTCAAAAACTGAAGAGAACCCTTTTAGTTTTAAACATTTTTTAAAAAATGGTTCACAAACAAATTATCAAAATGCTGGAGCACGTCCAAAGGTTTATACTTCTGCAACAACTTATAATTTAGAGAAGGGTTCTGCTGTTTATCCCCGTAATCGAACAGAATTACCAGATTTTGTACAAGATCACTTGGTCATAGAACAATATTATCTGAATCATGAACCTAAACAACAAACTATTTCAGATGTAGATAATCTTCCTGACTTTACATTAAACAGTATAGAACAGTGGCAAACTCGACTTAGAAATGAATCGAAGAAAAGTGAATCTAGTGCTTCATGTGACCTTTCATTTGACTTAACTGAAAGTTTGGACAAAACAACAACTCAGAGAACTCAATCTGTACCAAGTAAGAATGCTTTTGATCATTTAAATTTACCTTATTGTATTACATCTAATCTGCTTTTAGATTCAACTGTTTTTGAACCTACTGAAAGTCCAGAACCATTAGGTACTTATAAAATAATATATTGTTATGAATGATTTAAAGAAATTGTTTATTTATAATATTTCACTGTTTAGAGTTTCTACTAGATTTACCAATATCTACAGCTGAACCTGATTCTGAATCTAATGTTAGTGTAAGGGACTGTCCTCACTCAGGAACAAGTGAGGCAAATGTTCCAAAATCTTTACCAGATTTTTTAAATGATGGTCCTATTCATAATAGGACAACATTATCAACAGAGTCTGGTTCTATCCCAAATAGTACAGAGTCCACAGAAAGGAGGGTATGAATAATATTAAATTATGAATTGTAATATACTTGTTATACTTTTCATAATTATAATATATAGATATTTTTTTCAGTTATTGTTAGAAAATGAAAGATTACGGCAGGAATTAGATTTAGCTCGAAAACAAATCAATGAGAAGTCAGAAAAGTAAATTTTCAGAAATCTTGTATTTTTAGCAATAGGATGTATTTTCTGGTTTATTTACATAATTTATGTTACAGAATTGAATTATTAAAATCTGAATTATCGTCTAAAAGAGAAGTTGAGCATGAAGAAGCAATTCACCTTGAAAAAGCTATGGAACAAGTTGAAGATAATTTAAAACGTAGTACAGTGAGTAAAAGAAGGGTTTTGTGTGTTTAGTTAAAATCCATAATTGTAATTTTTCTTACAGAGAAGAGCAGTAAATGCAGAAAGCATCATTTCATCATTGAAAAAAGAGATTATATCTTTAAAGGTTAGTATAAGTATAGAATTTTTTAAATATTTTATGGTATATTCAAATATTTAATAACAAAATATAATTTTAATCCAGATGGAGATATCATTACTCAGATCAGAAAACAAAGAACTTAGAGCTGGAGTTACAGCAGGAAGTAAAAACGAATGTGGGTCTTCAGATATAGATCAGACAGTAAAAAGGGTAGCTAGTGATTTAAGACATGCTGCTTCATCAGCAGAAGTATCATTGAGGTAAAAAAAATTTTCAAATTAAATATTGGAGAACAATTAAATGTAACTAACAATATGTATTGAAATCGTTTTAGACAATTAATGTTTGGTGTGAGCAGTTTAAGAGTACTAGCTTCAGCACTCGAAAATATGGATAGGATAGAAGACCGGACCAAAAATTTTCTACCAGATTATGATGAAGACAATGCTGCTGGTCCTGCACTTTAATACATTCTTGTGTAGCTCTTTTTCTGCATACTATCTTTGTTTTACTTTTATGACATGTATCCCAGCCTGTGCTAATAAGTTCCTCGAACTCACGCATTTGCGTTGAGTACCTGTTTTGGAGTCGATTAGTGATTTGATTCAATTAAAAAACATGATATGCGTATCATGTTTGTTATAACTTTGTGTTAATAATATATCTTGAATTTTTACTTACATAACAGTTCTAGATATAGAACAGTTATATATTATCCCTGCTTGGCAAATCATGCCCTTCTAAATGTAATTTTAATTCTTAGCAACAAACATGAATGAAATAATAGCTTAAACGTGATCTATCACGATGCGGCTCCGAGCAAAAAAAAACTAAAGATTTTAACTTTTATATGTACGTTTTAACGTAAAGCCATAACGCAAAGCACTGGTTGGGATTCGGTACATAATTCCAACACAGTTGTTAAAAAAGAAAAAACGATATTTTAATAGTTATTGTAACATGTTACGTGTACAGTTTCAAATTACATGTTCCATTTCTTTGTAAATGTTTAAACTATCAGTTAAACAATTACACTTGAAGTCGACAAGATTCTTCATGTATTTTTCTATTTAAGGGGGTATATGATTCTTGAGTCTTGGAAAGACGAATCTCCTTTCAAGTAAGGTTTGTAATTATACGAATTGACAACTGTTTTTCTAAGCGATGTATAATAACAATATATATACAAAAAATTAAATTTTAAAAAATTGCCTTTGTACATGACATAAGAACGATTGCAAGTATTTCAATCTAAAAATTACATTTCTATTTACATATATTAAAAACTTAATCAAGTTAAAAACTTTAAAACCATACATTCGAATATTATAACAAAATATTTTGCCTTTATAATACATGTTTTGAAAACATCTTAAAATTTGTGGATTAATATTTATAAATAAATGTCTTTTTTCACACATATATATATATATATATATACACATTCTATTACAAATATTATTACAATTTCATAATATGTTTATATATATATATTTTTTTTTTATATTTTGTATTCATAGTTTATTTCAAGATATGACAACTTGTGATTATTTTTATTTAAATTAATTTGTTGATATAATTTTTATGATATTCTTTGAAATCACATTATCTTTAAGTTAGAAAAAAGTTTCAAGGCTTATTTGCCCCCTTAAAATTTAAATTAAATATTAATACTTTTTATTATACAGATTTTAAATTAATAGTTTTAATAATAAGTTACATGTAACAAAAAATTACATTGCCTGCAATGTGTATGTTTTTATTCTGGAAACACGTGTATAAACAATACATATTTTAAGATTGTGGCAGAGAATACTATATAATACAGTAAATTCGAAACATATTTTCTTTTTAAGGAAATGCAGTTTTCAATCAACGCACGTAATATTCCATTAACAAATTGCACATATACAGGAACCTAAACAATTAATTTGTAATAAAATATAAAAAATACCAAAGTACTAAATAACAATACGAAAAATTAGTCTTATTTTACAATACCAAATGCAAATTATTTTGTCTTTATACTTAAAGTAATTTTCCTAAATATCAATTGTTATACCGTCATATGTATAGAAATGAACACTTTTATTACTGAAGACCTTCAAAAATACTAAGTAAATCAGTTTGTGTTTCAGTATGACTAGTTTGAGTACTCAACCAGGAACGACAGGCGCCTATTGAAATATTACAACCTGTTTCACATATTAAGGATTTTGTTTGTGTTTCGGCAGAAACAGTAGTATCCTCGAGTTGAGACCAAGGCGTTTGTGTTTGGATATTAGACAATCCTAGATCAGTCGGTAGTATTTCATTACAAGTTTGCGTGCATGTATTACTGTATAATAGTTGTTCCATATTATCAAGATTATTTGTAGTTTGTGTTTCAATGTTAGAACTTAAAGCAAATGATCTAGTTAGGGGATCTGAATCAAAAAATGATTGTGAATAAGCTTGTTCCGTCTGAGTTTCTATGCTACTAAACTTATCATCAAAAGTTTTGTCTGTAAGCATGGGATCTGATCGTGATATGCTATTTGAAGATACAAAGGAATATCCTTCAACAACAGTTGATGTTTCTTCAACATAAGGTAAAGTCATTAAAGCAACTGTACTCTTTGGAGTACATTGTATCAATGGATTTGTACTATGATCATAAAATGTTTCGAATTCAGTTTGTGTAACATTATCATTTAGAACTTCAAACATGTCTTTTTCAGGTATTGTTTGAGTACCTGATGTGCTTTTATCTTCCCAAAAATCTTGTAATCCATCATCATGACGAAGTGGTAATGGACTGCCAGGGAATAAATTTGAAGTTGCAAAATTGCCAAGATTAAGGTCTTCTTTTAATAATGTATAATCAGAACTTTGAGATACAGAATTTTTTCCATGTTTTTGAAGCTTTAAAGAATTCTTAAATGCTTGTGCAGCTTGTATTGTTTGTGTCTCCATAGACATTACATTTTGTTTAACTCTTTGAGATATACTTGTTTGAGTTTGTTTAGATATTCCACGCTTTCCATTGTGGTAGTAACCATTGTTAATATGCTTTAATGGACTTGACAGTCTTTTATTCTTTTTATGTTCATCAGTTTGTATACCAATATCTGATGTAAGTTTTCGTGTGGAATCATTATTATGATTAGATATTTTATTTTCATTTTGATTTATTGGTAATATTGTAACTAGTTTATTCATTTCTGTTTGATTAGTTGGTAAAATCAATCTCATTGTTTTAGAATTTGTGCGTCTGTGAAATTATTAATTAATATAAATTGATGTTATTACATTTAAATTTGTCAAACAATATAATATTAAAATATTTGTATTTTATAATTAACTTACCTCAAAGAATTTTTGTATTTATCATTTATAGTGTGTAAAGTACGTTTTGCATGTGTGAGTAAGGCTTCATAAGAAGTATAAGTTTTTGAACAAGAACATACAAATTCAATCCCACATACTCTCATGTGGCCTTCTTTTGCTGCTTCAGTAGAAAAACTTTTGTCACAACGAGTACATGCATGCGTTTTTTTCGCATGTACCTTAAGATAATGCTAAATATGTATTGAAATATTAAATTTTTTGTCATAATTGCAACATTTAATAATTGATTTCATAGATGACACGTTTTTCGTTGGCAACACTAACCTGTTTAAGGTATTTCATACTGCTAAAATGTCTTTCAGCTTTTGGGGCATAAATACAAGACTCTACTGGACAATGATATCTTATATTTTCTTGTTTTATTGTTTTATCTAATTTTTTACGTTGATGCACTTTAAGATCGTGTAACCGATATCGCGGTTCATTTTTAAATACAAGTCCGCATTTATCGCACTTTATATTATTTGTTATTACACTGAGTTCCTCCGGCGATGGACAAATAATTTTGATACATTTGGAGATATTTTGTACCGGTTTTATTCTTTCCATTAGAGGTTATTTTCCAGCGGCACTTAACATGTATACAAACTACCGCCATTTAGCTGACTGGTCCAATCGATCCAAAGATACATTTGTTTGAAATATCTTGTTATACAGCGCCACTATGTTTCATTCAATTGTTGTAAAGGTTTTCAGAATCAAAATTCAAAACTTAAATTTGGTTAACTAATTTTGTTTATCTTAAAAATACTACATATAATGTATCATATGTAATATAATAATGACAATATATACGTATCTTATAAGCAATTAATAAACATAAGCATACGAGATATCTCGAAGTTCATTTGATACATCATTTTAACATATTTTATCGTGAATTCTAATATATCGAAATATTTATTAAATCGTCAAATTTAATCATGATAAACTTTTAGACTTCTAAGTATAAAATTCTAATTATAATATTTTAAACTAGAAATATTTTAAGGTAAATATTTCAATTATTAGTCTTCGCAAATCAGTATTAAAGATTGAAAATTCAAATTCAAATTTGGAAAGTTATGAATTAATAGAATACAAATTATGTTAATTAAGTAATAACACATAATACAATTTACTATATTTCAGTAAGATTAAGTGTATTAGTATTTCGTATAAAATTCTATTTAACAGATTTAAAAATGCATCTCATAGTACAGTAAGCTACTACCAATGAAATGTAATATGGTCCAAGTACTGCCAGTGAAATGTAGTATGGTAAGACTATTCTATTGTTATACTAACGTAATAAGTGTGAAAATTAAATAACCAATGATTCTACTATTTCACTTATCTTTACGTTGTTTACCTTCTGTACGTCATTAATATATTACAAAATACTTACGAACTATTCAATCAATAAATCTTCCTCAATTACATGTAGTACTAATAATAGACTACCGTACATTATATTTAACTTACAATTATACAATACTTTTATTTAAATTTTTAAAGGAAATAAGAAATGGGACAAAATGTATTCAACTCCTTTTGTAATATATATACTTGATCTCGCCTTTTTAATTTACATGAATAATATTGAAAATATTTTTATATTTTATCACTTTTTAGAAACAATATTATTTTATCTGTTAAAAATATAAATCCATTATGCATTGTAATTAAATAATCGTCAGGAAGATACGATGCGCGAATTTGGAAGTGCAGCAGCTTAAGGTCGTCGTACGCTGGATCGACACAGTCTGCTCTACTTCCACTGCATAGGTAGTGCGAACTGTACATATGCATACACACGTGAACATTCACATAGCTGCTTTCTCAGCTCGTACCAGCAGAGTACAAGCAGCGCTGCTCGCTACATCGCAGCTACTTGTCAGTAGTTACACGTCAACCGAACATTGTGATGCCAACGTTTTTTCTATATGAGTATACACAAAATATTAAAAATAAAGTTTTTTAATTTCGTCGAAACGCAGTTTCGAGAACAATATAATTTTACAATTTGCGATTTGTGAACAATTTAGTGTGTGCGTTTCATTTGTTAACGCATCGGGACTCGATTCTTCAACGTGCCTCGGATATTAAAGGGGTTTCACGATCCTTAACGGTAGGATATTTTTCTTACGGTTCCTATACATATATATTTATCTTTTTATTCATATTTTTGAAGGTAAAGAAATTCGTGTGCGCCCGCGTGCATTCATCGAAGAAACCTTCACTATCGATTTGTAGTAATGGTTACCCTGTAGCTATATGCCTATTTGATTATGAATCGCATGAACGACGTATTATATCGGTAATATCGAACAATTCAATTTTGGTCAATTATCAATTTACCTTAATAATAGATATGAATCGTATATAGAATATGGATAGTTCTTTTATTTGATTTTTAAATTTAGTTTCATTTAATATTGCTTTCAATATTTGAATTTTTTAATGTTTATGGTTAGTTCCATTTTATATCATGTATATAATGACCACTATAGATATCGGATTATTTTCCGTGGAAACTTGAATATCATTTTTTCTTGTAAAGTTGACAGGTTACTTAACTAGATATAAGTGACGTTATTCTCTTCAATTAACGTCATTTGAGTTAAAGTATTTTGCAATTTGGTAGAATAGGTTATATTAAATGGTTCAATTTAAGATAATGATTAGATTAGTATAATTACTGTTATCATTATCTATTTTGGAAATTAGTGAAGCTATCTTTTGTTTAATTTAAAAGTAGGTTAGTGACAACTATATGTATTGTTTGGTTAAACAGTTCTACTGGTTCTTTCTTTCAAACCAATTAGCTTGACTGAACAGAATATTTATTAGAAACAAAATACGTAATTTGTATATTTTATTAAATTAAATATTTATATTGCAAACATTATCCATATCGTGAAACTATTCAAAGGTATCGATATTGAAAATCATACATGTGTATCAAATACAATGTTATTTTGATACGAAATATCGAAACCCTTGAAATTTGTCAAGCAAGCGTGCCAACTTGTACCTTTCAGTAAACCTAGAAAAAGCGAACCTTTATTGATGAGTATTACAAAATATTCAATTATCAGGAATCATTTGTTTAACCTTCGCGTAACTAAAAATCGGCACATTTAACTTCCACACATACACCGATATAGACATGTATATACATACTATACATATATACTATACTATATATATATATATATAATATTCAATGCCATAACATTTCGACAGGAATTCATTCGGACCATGAGCTGTGTGTTTCCTTTTTTTGAAAGTGTAAAACCGGATTGACGAATAATAAAGTATTTTATTCGAAATATCGCGCAGTCTTGTTGCAATTGAAATTTGTTTTTAAAATAAATAACAAATATAATTATTGTGGCAGTTCAATTGCAAACGTCGTAACTAACACAGTTGAAACGTCGCTTAGAAGAAATGAAAGACACGGCGAGTAAGAAGTACGAAAAACTTTTCGAAGATAATGAACTCGATGCTGCCGCCGCAGCTACCAAGAAAGAACCTAATGACAATGCACGCATGAAAGAGGTAAGAATAATTTTAAACTAATATTATGTTATTAATTGTAATAAGTAAATATTTCTATGAAAGATTGTATTCAACAATTTCATATTAACCGTCTTTATGTCATAATTTTTTTTAAACTTATCTCTACATACATCTCTACATACAAACTTATCTCTCTATATTTCCTTTTGTGATGAGTAAGATTTGGCTTTTAATATCGAAACTTTATTTTAATTGAGGAAGGAAGACTATTGAATTATATATCATATTACATTTTAAAGTATAGATGAAAAGTTAAAATAAATAATACCTATAAAATGTAAAATAAATAATTTAAAATATATAGCATGAAAAGTTCATTGCAATTGTAGTATCTTCAAATGTTTCGGTATCGATCCAATGCTTACCCTGCCAACAATACTTACTGACTTAGCTATAATTTTATTTACGAACAAGATTCTTTTTATTTTACCATTGATACGATGTTTCTATGTTTGTCAAAAAATATGTTGCAAAGGATTATAAATTTTACTCGATCTATTATCTAATGTATTAAAATTAAAGAAAATTACACAGTCGTCGTTAGTGACGCAATATAATGAGTAATAATTTTCTAGCGCTAACATATAGACATGATATGATATTGTGAAAATATATAAAAATAATGTAGGTAGTAAATATTCTGAACATGACCTGAGGTTTTAAGCGTAGAAATGTGGCCTTGCGCATTCTGAGGAAAACGGATCGATAATCGCTAGGATGGAAAATCGAATATTTGCAATTTATACGATATTTCGAAGTTGATGTTGCATGAAATTCTGTAAGAAGGAAATAATAAAAATGGTATTATTCTTACCTTGTAAATTTCACTTCAATTTAATAGTTTCTATAAATAAATGTTACATATCTTTAAAAGAAATATACATTAGTAATAATAATATAATATAACGTAATATTCTTTCATTTTGGATGTAATATTTTAATACAGTAAGTAAATTTGAAAGTAATATATGATTGTATAAATTGATAAAAAAAAGAATAAATTCGGAAATAATTAAAAATATTGGAACATTGTTTTAAATATAAATTGCGGAATATTAATGCTTCCAAATATAAAAATGTAAAGTAAAATATATATGTACATTAATTTGAAAGTATGTTATCAGGTAAACAAGTACCGCTGTGTATATATATCTATATATTTGATAAAACACTTGTGAAAGTTTTATATATAATGGATGAAGATGTTAATAACATTTAGTAAATTCTTAATACATGATATCATCTGTTTTTTCTTGATTAATTTACACAGATGTATATTTAAAGTATATTTGAAATGAAGCAATACGTTCTCTGAATTTTTTCAAGGTTAGAATTTACGATGTATTACGTTTTATTATCTTTGTATTATAAAATAAAATTATTTTTAAGAAACTATTCCTCATAAAATATCAATAATATTTTTCGTATATATTATATAAAAATCTTTATACTTGTTGCAACTATTTCTTTGTTACAATGACACATGTGACATAAACAGAACATGATACACGTGTCATTATAGTAAACGTTAATTAATTACTATTTCACATTTGTACAGAATAAATAAATTAAATATTAGTTTAATGTAGTTATCCTATTATATGTAATTGTAAGCAAAATGCTATTAAAATTGACATTTATATCTTTAACATGAATACATATTGTAATTCGTTCGATGTATGTCGTAAAAATGTGGGAAGACCCTTAGTAGGCATAATAATGTGTTATTAGTATTGTGAATATACATATAGAAGTATTAAATGTTTTTATAGCAAATTTTGTATTGAAAACTAATGCATTTAATATTATTTAACTTGGTATTGGATATTTTAAAACGAATAAAAGTTTGTGATAAAGGTTAGGAAATCATTTTAAAAATTAATGATATATCACGCAAAAAATATTAATTAAAAAAGTTTTAATTTTCATTTTTGAAGGATAAAGATCAAACCTCAGAAATGTGGTTAACAACAGCTGAAGCAGCTAGTCTTAGTGCTAAAGAAGTTGCTGCTAGGTTGCATGTTGATATAAGAACGGGTCTTTGGTGGCGGGAAGCAGACCATCGAAGACAATTAGTTGGATTCAATGAGTTTAGTGTTAAGGAAGAAGAGCCAACATGGAAAAAATATCTTGAACAAGTATTTAAAAGATATTTATCTAATCATAAAATGTTAATAATGGAATATGAAAATAAAAATGTGTTCTTTCTCTTTTTAGTTTAAAAATCCTCTAATTCTGTTACTTCTTTGTTCTGCCTTTGTTAGTGTATGTATGAAACAATTTGACGATGCTGTCAGTATTACAGTGGTAAGTATAGGATTATGATAATTTTAGAATAAATTGAAATAAATATTCATTAAATTTTGAATAAATATTTATTATATCTTAATAAATATTTGTATTATGTTCTTTCTTAGGCTATCATAATAGTAGTGACCGTTGCATTTGTACAAGAATACCGTTCTGAAAAATCCTTAGAAGAATTAAATAAACTGGTGCCACCAACTTGTCATTGGTAAGTTTGTTAACAAATATTACTTATTGAATGTTTGTCCAATAAAAATCATAATAAAATTATGTGGAGTAAAATAAATGTATAAATGGTTAATAGCATTTATTTAAAATAACATTTCCCCTAGAAATATGGTTCTTGGAGAATATATGAATCCTTTGTATGGAGTATTACTTTATTTCTTAAAAAAGAAGATATACTGTCCAATTCCAATCAATAGATCAATAAGATGAAATTTCTTTCTCTACAACATTTATTTAGAATGAACAATTTTAAAGGTGCACAGTTATAGGTTGAGGATGGAAGTTAGACCTATTTATTGTTATAATATTCGTGAATATTTCAATATTAAACAATTTTAATATTAAAGTAATTCTTTCAACATTTTTTTACAGCTTACGAGAAGGCCACATGGAGACATTTCTTGCTCGTAATTTAGTTCCTGGTGATATAGTTTATTTAAATATTGGTGATAGAGTACCTGCAGATATCAGAATATTTGAAGCAATAGCTTTAGCAATTGATGAAAGCAGTTTTACTGGGGAAACTGAACCAGCAGAAAAATCAACAGCTCCATTACTTAAAGCTAATGGATTAACAACGAAAAGGAATATTGCATTTATGGGCACACTAGTGCGTTGTGGTAATGGCAAAGTAAGTTTTATTACAGTAAATTAATTTCTGAGAGTCCATAACATTTATCAACTGTATACAAATACATAACAAATGATCTATAGGGTATAGTTGTGAATACTGGAGAAAAAAGTGAATTTGGAGAAGTTTTCTCAATGATGCAAGCTGAAGAAGCACCAAAGACACCTCTTCAAAGAAGCATGGATATTTTGGGCACTCAATTATCTTTTTATTCATTCTGCATTATTGGTATTATTATACTTATAGGTTGGATCCAAGGCAAACCTATACTAGAAATGTTTACCATCAGTGTAAGTTTAGCAGTGGCAGCTATACCAGAAGGTTTACCTATTGTTGTAACTGTAACTTTAGCATTGGGTGTTATGAGGATGGTTAAAAGGAAAGCCATTGTAAAGAAATTACCAACGGTGGAAACACTTGGTGAATATACATACAATATAAATAAAAAATATATATCAAGTTTAGGCAGATATATAAGTATTATATGATTAAATGTGTAGGTTGTGTAAATGTAATATGCTCAGATAAAACTGGTACTATTACGAAGAATGAAATGACTGCGACGATTCTGGTAACATCAGAAGGATATATAGCTGATATTACTGGAACTGGTTACAATGCTAAAGGAGAAGTATTGATTCGAAAATGTGATAATATGGAACTTGCACGCGCTGCTATTAGTAATATGTTGGAAGTAGGATGTGTTTGTAATAATGCTATAATACAGAATGACGCTTTACTTGGTCAGCCAACAGAAGGTGCATTAATAGCATTGGCAATGAAATTCGGAATGTATGGAGTTGCTGATAAATATTTGCGAATACAAGAATATCCGTTCTCATCTGAGCAAAAATTGATGGCTGTAGAATGTACACTGAAATATGAAGAGGTTAAAATAATTTTTCCAATGATATTAATCCTTTTAAGATGAATATCCATTATGTTTTTTAAATATTCATATATATTACAGAATAGGCAAGAAATATATTTTGTAAAAGGTGCTCTGGAAAAGATTTTACCACTTTGTACTAAATATTCTGTTAATGGTCAAATGTGTACCCTTAATCAAAAAAAAGATGAAGAATTTTTAACAGAAGCTTACAATATTGGACAACAAGGACTAAGAGGTATGTTTTAATTTTCATGATAATTTTAATTTCTTTACTCATTTTTTCAAATACGTATACAGTAATTGGATTGGCACGGGCTACATCATTAGAAGATCTAATGTATGTTGGTCTTGTGGGGATATGCGATCCTCCACGCCCACACGTACGTGAGTCTATAACAACTCTCATAAATAGCGGCGTTAAAGTAAAAATGGTTACAGGTGATGCTAAAGAAACTGCATCTGCAATAGGTACAATGTGAATTTTTTATGTTCTTTTAAAGTATTTCAAGAATAATATAACATATATATTTTTTTTTATTTTAGCAAGTATGATTGGGTTAGACGTACTTCATTCACGGTTAATTTCTGGAGATGAAATTGACTTAATGTCTGAACATCAATTAGAACAATGTATCAATAACGTTAGTGTATTTTATCGAGTCACGCCTAGGCATAAATTATGTATTGTAAAAGCTTTACAAAGGGAAGGAAACATAGTAGGTATGACAGGTGATGGTGTAAATGATGGAGTTGCTTTGAAAAAAGCAGATATAGGCATAGCAATGGGTAAAAATGGTACTGACGTTTGTAAAGAAGCAGCGGACATGATATTAGTGGATGATGATTTTGAAACTATCATGTATGTATTGGTTCCTTCTGCAGTAATTTTTAACATTTTTCATATTTATTCACCTTTAATTGTACATATCTTTTAGTGCTGCAATTGAGGAAGGAAAGGGAATTTTTCATAATATACGGAATTTTGTAAGATTTCAATTAAGTACTAGTATAGCTGCCCTGTCTTTAATTGCACTTGCTACATTGATGGGTATACCAAATCCTTTGAATGCAATGCAAATTCTTTGGATTAATATTATTATGGATGGACCACCCGCTCAGAGGTATTTACAAGATAAAAAAGTTTTTTAACCTTTTACATTATGATATTTATATATACTACTTTTTATCGTAGTCTTGGTGTCGAACCAGTTGATAAGGATGTCTTAAAGCAAAAACCACGTAACACGAAAGAACCAATGATTACAAGATATCTTATTATCAATGTACTTTTGTCAGCTATTATTATTATACTCGGTACTTTATGGGTTTACAACAGAGAGGTATAACGTTGATCATAATAAATATTCATATTTTATAAATTTTTAATTTCTTTCATGCCTTATTTTTATTAGATGACATATGATGGTACCACTGCAAGAGATACAACCATGACATTTACATGTTTCGTTTTCTTTGATATGTTTAATGCTCTAAGCTGTAGATCACAGGTAAGAAATAATAAAATTGTATAACATTATAATGTATATTTTTTTTATAAATTAAACATAACATTTTAGATCAAATCAATATTTACTATTGGTTTATGGAGTAACAAAATGTTCCTGGTAGCCGTAACATTATCAGTTATAGGACAGATGTTAGTGATCTACTTTCCACCATTACAACGAGTTTTCCAAACCGAAGCTCTTTCGCTAAAAGGTACGCAGTTCGAACAAAGCTTCTAAAAAGTTTGATTTCTTCTTTAAATTTAAAAATATAATATTTGTTTTTATTTTTAACAGATATCTTGTTTCTTGTCGCACTTACATCCAGCGTTTTCGTAATTAGCGAGATAAAGAAATTCATAGAAAGGCAATTGTACAGGCGACGAGCAGGTACACAATATTACAATAAATCTGAGATGGATTTTGTATGACAGTTACAGTCTGCCGAAGATAAGGCGGACAAGGATCATGTGGAATAAAATGCCCAATACACATCGTACGGGTAGTAGTCACTCGTTTATCAACATTATCTCGCTATACACTCGACTATGCTTGCACATTTGTAAACTTGTATGTGCACTTGTCACGAAACGAACTTTCTGCGTTTAATCAAACGCATTCAACTAAAATTTACAATAACTACATTTTTTAACCTTTACAAATTTTTCTGACTTTCTGATGTATGATATTCGATTTTTAGGCGTTAGAATCTAACCGTTTCACTTCTCGTCTTCACATTGATTATATTGAACACGTCGTAGACTTTAGAAACGCTATGCACATTCCATAAATTTTTGGTAGACGAGTAATCTTAATGATACTACTCACAATCGTAATGTAGCAATCTTCGTATCGATTAATCATAATATTTTAATGTCTGATACATTTTTTCATTCATCTAACAAATGCAGCAATTTATCTCTTGAGATAAATACATTAACCTGTTTCTACTTCCGTGAAATGTTTGAGTCGCAATCATTATAGACCGTATTATCGAATAACAAAAATCATAATCCTTGGTGAAAAATATGCGAAAAACAATATGATGTAATTAAGCATATGGATCGATTGCATTTAAAAATACAATTGGTTATAATTGGAAGAATAAATGATCTTGTAATGTTCCTTAATTCTACAACGTAACGCGATGAGTTTCTGATAACAAGAAAATCAGAAGCAAAATACAAAAATTTGAAAGGTGAACAATGTAAGAAACGATTACTTTCTTGTAATTGGAAACGAAATCGTGTCTGTATTATGTATCTTTTCACAAACGAACGTACTATCTAATAATACTAGTCACAACTCATTGAATCGTGATTAGTTAGTTATTTGTGTAATTTAGTGCTTTCTGTTATTTCAATGGATTCCCTCAAGAGCACTATACGTTTTGTATTGATATAGGTCTGGTCCTCCATAGCCATAAAGTAACTTTCCTCTGCCATTTTCATCATAGTATGGATAGCGGTATTTAGGCCTATAGATAATCACGTAATGATCAATAAAATCTTGTAATCGTGTTAGAGAGAGAGGGGAGAGGGGATATGTTTATTTTAAATATAATTTTATCTTTTTTATGTATTTTTAATTTCTTACCGCTCAAAGTACTGAAAATTAGGTGCTTTTGGTTGAGCTATCGTGGCCGTGACCTCAACAATTAAACCCAGTAAAAAAGCAACGACTATAATCGCAAAGATCATGGTTGTCCACTGAAAGTAGGTCAATTAGTATTAGTGTGTTGAAACGAGAATATGCAAAGAGTGTTCTACATTTAGTGTGCATACGCTTTAGATGGTTCTATTAAAGGTTTCATAACGAATAATACAAAAAAGAGAAAAGATGAGCATCATTTTATATGGCATGTGCACTGTAAGCAGGTCAAGGAACATTTTGAGATTTATTTTGGCGAAAATGTCAGACTTTTGAAATTCTTTCAAATAGATAAATAGTTACACATACAAAATTTCATTTTCGTCATTTCTTTATCTACATATTTACTTTTATTTGTACTTTTAAATTTTATTTTATATCCATTTACTTACGGAAGTGTGTCTTGCCATCTCAGCGACTGCTTTCACACTTTCAGTTCGTGAAACAAATGTCTTGAAAATTCTATGAAGCGTAATGTCCAATACACGAGTGTTTTTATTCCAATTTACTTCTCTTTGTCGAAGAAAACATAGAGTATTTTTATTCAAAAAGCACTACTGGGGAAGATACTACGGCCCGTACGATCGGTCTGATTCCACCTTTTACTTGCCTTATTCTGAAATCCGTTACCGTTCTTCGCTCTCTTCCCACTCCGTTCTTCCTTTATATCAAGTGAAAGTCGGACGGGTACATTGTACGTTGCACGTATACGCACCTGATATCATGATGAATGGAGGAACCTTGAGGATAAAATCTGTGTCCTTCTGTTTTTCGAAATTCGTTGAAAGTCGATTATACGGTTAATCGATAGTTGATGAAATTGTTCAAGGTTGAAAAGAGCAAATGATCGTGATTTTGAAATAAAATATTTGTAAAATTAAACACATTTTTTTTTCTTTAGAATTAAAAAATGGCGAAGGATAGACATACGCAAATTATAACCAAAGTTAAACATTTAGTGAAAATGCATCTATTTTTACTAAAGTACATATTCTTTTACTGCGACTAGCATAATAAGTTTTATTTATACAAAGTAACATATAGTTTTCATTGATTTTTAATACATCTTTTTACAGATTAGCGATTTTATCGGTTTTTACACAGGCGTATGCCATGGTCCTTTGTATCCAATTCCCATACCGATCTTTGCGATCGCTATCTCTCCGTGACGACCGTTTTCCTGCTCGTACCTGACTCTTCTCTGTTTCCCAACTTCTGGATCAAAATCCCATTGCGTGTGCTGCGTAACGATTATGATACGATTATGATACGATTATTGTTTTAACGCAAGTAAACTTCCCTTTTTTATTTTGCTTTTGGAACCTTTACTTTAACACTGATTTTCTATTTCGCAGAACGTAATACTTGCCTCGTGGATAAGTGGTATCCCTGCTATGTTAAATTGAATTAAATCATGAATAAATGTAAGAATACTGGGTTCAGCAACTGATAAGTTTCCTTCGAGGTTAAACAGCAAGATGAGGAAAGTTGTAAAGATCTAAAATATATAGAAATTTAATGGTGTAATCTAGTCTTAGTTTTATATATATATATAGAGAGAGAGAGTTATAACATGTGTAATAAATGTAAAAATTAGAGCAAGTCAACAATTCTAATTACCAAACTACGAGAGAAATCCATGTTGTTCCTTTTCGAAAGACTCACGCAGGATCACGTCGCCGGCGGTGCGATGATGGTACGATGATGGTACGATGATAGCCAGACAAGTGCGGAATACCAACTAACTCCATTCCTAAAGACAACTATACACGGAAAAAAGAAATCAGCTGTATATCGCGATGGTCTGGCGCAATGCAGCCAGTGAAAGTAAAAAAGGCACGTCAAGCAATGAGGCGCGAGTCGTTTGAAAAACCAAGTTGCGTCCAACGATTGACAGTTTTATCACGAAAAAATCGCAATGTATTCTATGCACGGAGTGGTCACCCACTCGGAAGACATAAAGGTGAGTGGATGCCATGAACGATGGAATATTGCTTTCCCTGTGTTCCTACCTGAAGGTTCGATAAAAGAAAATGCGCACGACTCACGCATTAGTCTTAATCTATGCGGTAAGTGGGTCTACGATTAAATGCACCGATCGTGATCTGCAGTAAAACGTATCGTGAAATCGTTTCATAATCATTTTTATTGCATATACAGTTGTGCATAGTCGTCGAGTGTGGCGGAACAGTTTCAACTAGAGTCACCCGGACACTTCCTCTTAATTTTTTCCCTTCAAGATGGCCGGCCATGTTCAGGACATTATGGTCTGGTGGAGGATTATGGGAATGGCCAAGAAACAACGTAGAAAATTTCCTGAGATTGGTTGCCTCCCCGGATACCAGGAAGAAAATGGTGTTCGAATTCAGACCAGAAGATGGACCAAGAGCTTCGGTTGATTATCAGAGACGCTATGGTTATCGAGGGGAGTGGTTGATCGAATTATTGGGTTCTGGTTTTCATCCGGATGACGTGCCTTATCAACAGCCATTGCCTGCTGCAGTGTTAATACCTCCGCCGCTCTCTTTCTAATTACTGCGTAATTCAGTAATTTATATGAAAGGGAAACAAACGCGAATACAACATGAAACCAAATACTGAAAAGTGATTAAGTGTGCTTCTGGTTAAAAGTGGAAAATAGATTTAGATAGCCCAGATCTTGACGTAGTCTATGTGGAGGCCGGTATCGGCGTTCCTCCAAGACTGTATCCAGTTCTTTTCGTCCAAATAGAAGGTATAGAGTGCCTGCAACGAATGATATCGTGTTTTATATGTTTTGGTTTAGTTAAATACATTTTTTTTTTAAATGAAATTCAAATTGCTTAGAAGAAGCACCTTCGATCCAATGTTTCTCCAAGGTTTGACGTAGTTGCCGCTGATACAAGAATCTGGGAATGTGGTAACGCCTCCTACTGCTAGGCCGAGGTTTACGTAAACCTACAAAAATTGTTAAATGCCAAAGGAAATATTTATAATAGTTAGGAATACCGCAAGTCTTATTGTATGGAAAGTGCTTGAAATGATCATAAGTCACAGACAAGAATTTTTAGTTCATGATCAGACACTCGTTACTGACCGGAGTATCATACAGCGCCGGTACTTGCTGTTCGCCATACTGTTCTCCATCAACTTTAACCGAGATTCGACCGCTTCTCCATTCCAAATCATACACATGGTAATTGCTTGACCATAAAGTGTTCGAAATTATGTTAGGAAGACGTAATTGATTATCTTTTATGGATTGTTGATTTATGTCCGTTACATGAGCACCACCTAGAAGGATGTGACCGCTCAAATCTTGTCCATTCTGTGATTTAAGTGAAGGATTTCCAGTTGCGAGAGCGATTATAATGTCACAATACTCCGTTATGTTTGTTTTATGCCTGTCAATACTTTCCAAGGTGATCACTGTAACAAAATAATAAATTATTTCATACTAATTTAATTTTACTAGGTATTAAGTTTAATATTAAGTAGTTTACTACTAACTGAGTGACACTGTTCATTGTTTAAGAACTTACAAAATGTATAATGATACGTACAAGGATATATCCAGTCACCATAAGGCAATTTAGCACGAACTTGAATGCGTCCGTATAGAAAAGCAAACGATGACCTGGTATTTAATCGACCCGATATTATAGGTGGTAAAATAAACGGTCCAAGTGGGGTCCGACTACATTCTGGGGTATAGGCTATTCCAGTACACCTAAATAAATGTAAAGACTTATAATACTTTATTCTAATCGATTTTGTGATAATTCGACTTTTACTTCTCCAAAATCAGATTTCCTGTTCGAACAAAGTCTTGCCCATACTTGTCGTTCAAGGAAGTTAGTGTAATATGTAAAATACCATCTTTTACTTTTACGTTATCTTCATTGTCCATGTATACGACAAATTCATAACTCTAAAATAAAGCGAAGGAAAAGTGTCTTATTATTGAATATATTTTTTTAAAGATTTAACTTCTTCTTATCAAGAAAATGTAATAATTCGTTTTATTTTTTAACATTTTTTCATTTGCTTTATTGCAATGAAAGAAATAGAATCACCAGAAGCTTCATTTATATTTTTATCAAATAACTATTAAAATACGAAGTACAGTACAGTTCCCGAGTACTGTTTGCAAATAGCATACTTACAGGGCCGTCTGAAAAGCGTTCGATAACCGTCCAACGGGTCGTATTAAGCGTATCGAAATTCTCTTCGAAAATTAATTGACCCGGACAGACATTTTGCCGTTTTAGTTGGAAGTTTGTGTCATTTCCAAATATTTTAGTATTCGAAGGTGTTGCACAGACAATTTCATTACCGTCAGCTTCCCTTACAGGCGTTCCATCGTACTGATAAAAATCTGAAGAAATAAGATAGTTAAACGTGTGTTTCAAGGAAATGGTTCTAAAATCATATTCTTCGTATTTCAAACCAACCAGTGACCACGTGTTGCTGGTCAAGTAAATTATAACCAAGACCATCGTAAACAACGTGAATCCAATAATAAATTCTATCGCCTCTTTTTAATCTCGTGGTTCGATCCTCGTATGTCCAACGGCCATTACGAATTTTTACAATATCTCTGGCAATAGCTCCAGCTTCGAGACCGTTGAAATCCTCATTAAATTTCACGTGATACGCGACCAAAGAAATGCCATCCTCGTCTAAATAAAAAGAGTATCTTTTGTATTAAAATCTTTAATACTTTTACAATTGATATTAACCTTTTGTATTTTTATTTGTTTTAAATGAGATTCCGGAATCTTTACATGCATTCCTGAATTGTTAATGAGTGAATGATAGATCTCGACGCTTCGTTTAAATTGAATTTTTAACATCACGGATATAAGTTCGTGCATCTTCATGGGCCATTCTGCAGTTTGCATCAGCTTGACCTTAGTCATGACCTTACGATACCGTATAAAAAAATTTTAATGAAAATAATTTATTTATACCAGTAACGAACAAATTTTTCGCAGTGATTTGTTCACAGTAAATTTTTGTAGTATTTATTTCATGTGTTCACGCGGAAAGTGAAACTTAAATTTTAATCATTTAGGTTCTGGCTTAGATCATTAAAGTTTATCATTGATACTCTAAAAGTGTGTATCGATATGCAACTCAAGTTTCCAGATAGCTTTTCGAATTGAAATATTTGTTGCAAAAAATTTGAGTTAGTAGTACATATAATATTTGTTAATATTAATATTTTAATAATTAAAATAATTAAAATCAGTAATTAATTTTTTAAATATTAATATTTTAATAATTAAAGTAATTAATTGAAATTAAGAATTAATTTTTTAAATAT